TTCATGTTCATATACATACAGTCTTATCTGTGACTGTCCTCTAGGAAAGTCTTAGGATATTCTGGATAGCAAAAATTTTAGGCATCTGAGAAATAAGATTCCATAAGACCAGAACATTTTCTCTTTTTAGTTTGTCAATTAAAGGCATAATTCCAAATACCTTGGCCTTATTAAAGACAGCATGATGACTATAATTAGCATATCATACGTGTCTTGATAGCTAATTCGTGATCGTCATAAGTAATTTTAGCTACTATATTGCAGGACAAATGGATACTAATGCTAGCTGAAACTCTGAAAATTTATTCTTGAAACAGTTTACGATGTAATTTTGCTCTTTTATCATTTGCCTCTTCATCTAAAGGCAACAAAAACTATGTGATGCATACCTTCCTGGACAGTGTACAAAGGCAAGATTTACTAGGGCATCACATTCTAAAGCATCTCTCTCTAGTAATTTTGCTCAATTGTATTGCCATGGTTTTCTAATTTTAAAGTACTACTGCTTTTCAGACATCTTGGATAAATATTAAGTTGGTTTAATATTTAAGGACCTGTGATTTAGTATGAAGAAAGTTTGATTCAAGTAGTAACTTTGCCATTTTCCAACTAAGAAAATTCTTATGAGTTAATGAAATGAGTTAATTCTTAAAGGCTTGATTTCATGATTTACAAAACATGGGCGCTATTCATGTTCAATTCTTGGATTTCTTATAAATATAAATGTGAGAATGCATGTAAGCACATAGTCTGATACATAGTGAAGCACGCAAATCAATAGCCAACAACTCTTTTCATTATCATTATTATTAAAATGCAAACTACATTGCCATTGCTGTGATTATAACAGGTCAGACTTTGTCAAAGTTGAAAATGAATTTGTAATAAATATGTCTCTTTTCTATACTTCCTTAGTGACTAAAATGACCATTCACCACTAGGTGAAATCAGTGTTTCATATGCAAATATTATTCCAGAACTGACAGTTTCCTAACATTCCCTTAAGATTTATCCAGTGTTCTGTATTTCCAAAATCTTGAATTATGTGAATATTTTAAATATCATTTGCAGTGTCTGAGCATCCTTTATATATGTTTATGTCCTGCAGCATATGAGCATTCTTGACATATTTTTGTTTAGTAACTCGTGCATTCATTTGCATGCTCCTTTCAAGTGCCTCTACGGTTCAGAACCAGTCAAGGTGTTCAGATAGAGTCTCTCCCCTTGTGAAGCTTGTATTCTCATGTGGGAGACAAGCAGTGAACAAGTAAACACATCGAATATATGCTATAATTTCAGGCAGGTTCATTGAAGAAAAATAATTTAGAAGGAGGTGTGAGAGAGTGCCTGGGCGAGAGGAGGGTGGATTTAGTAGCAGAAAATCTGTGAGACAAGTGTAGCAGGAATAAAGACAAGACAGTGAAGCAGGAACAAAGACAATGTGAAAAAGGGATGAGCAGACAGATGAAGTTACACAGATAGGCAGAAACCAGATGTTTGTAGGATCTGACAGCCCACCGTAAGGAATTTGGATTTAATTAGTGTATACAATAGGAAATCATTGGAGGGTTTTAAGTAAAGTTTATGAGAAAGTTTATATATATATATATATATATATATATGTATGTATA